TCATAGAGAGGTATATAATAACGGATCAAAGACATATCATAGCTTGACATTTAGTAAATAACCCTGAAAATGTCTAACTTCTAGAACATTATTTTCATAATTCACTGTTTAGAGAATTAACCCCATCAGCGGGAATTATTGGAAGACTTGCTGACGTTAAACGTGGACATCCCACTGGTTTCCATGGTGATTTAATGTAAGCTCAGTACTATATTTTATCCGTTGTCTCTAGGTGGTACTCCGTACTGTGGGATGACTTGCGCAGAGCTATATGAGAAGTTGCCACAGGGATACAGAATGGAAAAACCACGGAATTGTGATGATGAGGTGTAAGTGGTCACCCTTGTCTTGGATAACAAAATAATAATCAGCTTGTTAGCCATTTTACTTGGCAAATGCTACATTTAGACACCCTCCTTGGCAATACTGTATATTACCATAAATCAAGCTTCATGGCATCTTTTTATAGTAATATATAAATATTTGAAGTAGCAGATTAAATGCATATATAAGATGTTCATTTTTATTATTATTATATTTATATAGCGCCTACAAATTCCGTAGCGCTTTACAATGGGTGGACTAACAAACATGTAATTAATTTTTTCATTTTCTTGGGGGGGACAATTTTGAGAGAAATTTTCATTGATCACTAAAGTTTTCAATTACCATTAATCTGCTGGCAGGGCTAGTAGCCAGTGGGCAAATAGTTAATAACCCTTGGTGGTTCGAGGGTTAACCATAGGGCTGGCCAGAACGTGCTAGTTAGCCATCACAAAATGGCTGCTCAGTGTAATTTAAAAAAAAATAGCGACTGGCCAGCTAATTATCCACCCCTCATGCCCCCACAGTGCATTTAATATATATATATATAAATATATATATATATATATATATATATATATAATACAATAATGTGTTTGGGGTGGGAGGAGGCCTAAGTGTCTACACTAAGTGTCTACGCTATGTACACTGGGGGACTTATAGTTAAATTATGTGGGATGGACAGATCCCCCGTGGCCAGCATGTGGCGGTTATTAGAAAGAAATTAGGAAATTCTACTTATTATTAAATGGAGGGGACCTAGTGTGCCCCCAGCCCCAACCGTTAGACCAAATGGGGGCTACAACATCATTAATGGGGGTTGAACATGCCATCATTAATGGATATATAATCAGTTTAAGAATTGTTTTGAGGGGATAGCAATGGTATGTCACCCACCCTTGTTAAAATGTATTTAGAACCCCCACACGCTGCCCCTTGGTAAGAGCTGGGGTAATCACTGGGTTTCTCCATTTACTAATAGGTGGCTTCAGTCGCTGAACATGAGTGGGGGCAGTAGAGGACATTAGAATCCCCCCCCCCCCGTGTTTTTAAAGGGCCACTCTAGGCACCCAGACCACTTCAGCTTAATGAAGTGGTCTGGGTGCCAGGTCCTTCTAGGGTTAACCCATTTTTTTATAACATAGCAGTTTCAGAGAAACTGCTATGTTTATTAATGGGTTAAGACTTCCCCCAAAGCCTCTAGTGGCTGTCTCATTGACAGCCACTAGAGGCGCTTGCGTGATTATCACTGTGAAAATCACAGTGAGAGCACGCAAGCGTCCATAGGAAAGCATTGTAAATGCTTTCCTATGCGACCGGCTGAATGCGTGCGCAGCTCTTGCCGCGCGCGCGCGCATTCAGCCGACGGGGCGGATCGGAGGAGCAGAGAAGGAGGAGAGCTCTCCGCCCAGCGCTGGAAAAAGGTAAGTTTTTAACCCTTTCCCCCTTCCAGAGCCAGGCGGGAGGGGGTCCCTGAGGGTGGGGGCACCCTCAGGGCACTATAGTGCCAGGAAAACGAGTATGTTTTCCTGGCACTATAGTGGTCCTTTAATAACTCCCACCCGCTGGGTTTGAGTTAGAGGCAGGGTGAGGGACAATGATCTGTCTACCCCTATTAGTTCATTATTATGAAGTTCCCCACCCCATCCTCACAGGTGGGGTCACTGTACAACCTGGCTTTAATCTTTGCTCTTCGTCTTTTTTGTCTTTTATGGTTTTTTTTGTTTTTTTTTCTACAGTTTTGCCCCACCGTGGGGCTCAGGGTTTGGACAGCTATCTATCCACCCTATTCTATAAATAGGGGGCAGGGGGTGGGCAGGTAGCGTATAGTACTAGCAGCTTGGCAGCAATACTAACTAGATTTTTTATTACAGCAAACAGCCAGTGGCACAACATGTGAGCGAGGGCATGGGAGATGTGTAAATAGCTTTATTATACAATCCAGCAGCCACTGGCGGGAATTACAAATAAATTCAGTCTGTGAGCCATTCAGTCATTTTGCCATTGGCGGCTTTGTAACAGAAAATTACAGAAAATAAACATTTTGGGTCATTTTGTCATTCTTATGCATACAAAAGCACATGTAATGTGTATAATATATATTAGTACCTCATTGGTACTAATGTTATTAACCTCGGCAAGCGGAAATGCTAAATTAATCAGAGAGGGGAGGCACACCACCAAACGGCTAATTGTGTCTGTAGGGGATTAGTCACTGTGCCAAACACCTGGCACCTTCATATCGGGTAGTTTACATGTTTCTACCACCCATGCCAGCCGTACAGGTCTGCCAGTTCCCAGGATATGTTTGTACCACCCATGCCAGCCGTACAGGTCTGCCAGTTCCCAGGATATGTTTCCACCACCCATGCCAGCCAGACAGGTCTGCCAGTTCCCAGGATATGTTTACACCACCCATGCCAGCTGTACAGGTCTGCCAGTTCCCAGGATATGTCTGTACCACCCATGCCAGCCGTACAGGTCTGCCAGTTCCCAGGATATGTTTGTACCACCCATGCCAGCCGTACAGGTCTGCCAGTTCCCAGGATATGTTTGTACCACCCATGCCAGGTCTGCCCGTTCCCATGATATGTTTGTCGGTTTGGAAATGAGAGAAATAAAATGCAGCTTTTTGTTGTAGCTACGATCTGATGAGACAGTGCTGGAGAGACCGGCCATATGAGAGACCACCCTTTACCCAGATATCCCTGCACCTTGTCCGCATGTTGGAGGCCAGAAAGGTACCATGTATATAAACTATGATATATAAACACAGAGGATCAGTGAGAAATATACCTGTCCTTATACAGAGAGTAAAGAATACACCTGTTCTTAGACAGAGAGTAAAGAATATACATGTTCTTATACAGAGAGTAAAGAATACACCTGTTCTTATACGGAGAGTAAGGAATACACCTGTCCTTATACAGAGAGTAAAGAATATACATGTTCTTATACAGAGAATGAGAAACACACTTTTTTTTATACAGAGAGTTAAATCTCACTTTCTTTATACAGGGAGTTAGATCATACCTTCTTTATACAGAGTTAGATCATACCTTTCTTTATACAGAGAATGAGAAACACACCTTTTCTTATACAGAGAGTTAGATCACACCTTCTTTATACAGGGAGTTAGATCACACCTTCTTTATACAGGGAGTTAGATCATACCTTCTTTATACAGAGTTAGATCACACCTTTCTTTATACAGGGAGTTAGATCATACCTTCTTGATACAGAGTTAGATCACACCTTCTTTATACAGGGAGTTAGATCACACCTTCTTTATACAGAGTTAGATCATACCTTCTTTATACAGAGAGTTAGACACACCTTTCCCTATAGAGAGTCATATCATATCTTTGAGCCTATACTGTGCTCTGTTCTGTTTGAGTGCAATGGCCGACCAGTTTAATATTGCCGTGTTTTTGTGTTGCTGGTAAATTCAATTTGTTAGTTTTTTCTCGGAGTACTTGTTACTGTTATGTGTATGGTGACTCTAAACTCTGATTTTATCTGGCATCTAGGCATACGTGAACATGGCGCTATTTGAGAACTTTACCTACGCAGGAATCGACGCCACAGCGGAGGAGGCTTGAAAGAGCCGTGACTATACTCAGATCTTAATACACTGGTCACTCAATGAGTGTGACATAGACTGCGCTATACGGCAAAGCCAATGGCAGGACAGTGACTTCCACTGAGAGACTCTAGTATTCCGGGCATGTTCTCTGATCACTAGTCCGTCATGTGGACATTTCAAACTTTGTTTATACATTTGTTTCTATTAAAAGTATGTGTCTGTATGTGTATGATAAGAACATGTGGCCGGCTTCCTATTGTACAGCTGAACACTGCCATCTACTCCAGACGTTTTATGTTTTTACATGTTGGATACAGCACGGAACGCACAGTAACCCCAATATCAAGCAGGGTGAACCTCAAATAACTAGTCATACGATTGGATATTGAATATCAAGGTTCCGGAATCTCTGTAAATAATTAAAGAATGCTGGGAAGTGTAAGGAGTTATAACTGCTAAGGAGCTCTTTGGTTCTATACCTTGTCTATCCTTCCTGCCGCCACCTCAAGGTGTGTATGGAGATATTGTGGGGGTGGGGATAACCCTGATGTAGCAGAGACATTTAAAAAAAACACCCTCACTGCTGGCTTTCAAGGGCCAGTGGCTATTAAATAATATGCAAATCTCAGAAGGTTTATTTGCAATAAACTCTAATTTGCTTGTTTGTTTATTTGTTTTGATTTGTTTATGGTTTCTTTGTTTTGATGGAATATTGTGGAATAATTATAAAATGTTCATATATCTGTATTTTCCCGAGTGTTTTGTGTAATTTGTTGAAGGTGATTCAGAATAAAATGCAGCGAGAGACACTCGGTCCAAGTCAGACCTATATTTACACAGCCTTATGTCTGTCACAATACATTCCTTGTGCAACTGTTTGTGTTTTTGTATTTGCTAACTTGTGTACATTTTGAAGCTTTTTAAAAAAAAAATTATTTCATTAAAATCTATTTGAGTGGGCAGTAGGCGTGGGAATCCACATATGTCATCCACATACGGAGTAAAAGACCAATACTTCTCTACGTATCCTATAAGCGTGGATTTTACCGCTGTATGCCATCCACACTAGAGCTAGTTCAGCTCTACTACACAAATCAGACGAATTTGCACTATTGTTTGTTTCTTTCTTTACATACGGATCCTGTAAAACCATCTTCAAGCGACCCTTAGAGAGAATACTCCTTCACGTAGGCTGTCGTTGCCTCATCAGGCCCAACAAAATACTTTGTTTTGGCACCACTTAGATTTTGGACTTTGTTCATTTCAGCTGCACTTTAGCCAGCTTTGGCGCAACCTTTTTCTGTTTTGTCTTGTATGTTACCGTCATTGCACTGTGTATGAAGGCCCGTCATTGTAATGTGTATGAAGGCTCGCCATTGCACTGTGTATGAAGGCCTGTCATTGCACTGTGTATGAAGGCTCGCCATTGCACTGTGTATGAAGGCCCGTCATTGCACTGTGTAAGAAGGCCCGTCATTGCACTGTGTATGATGAAAAAAAAATGTCCTGATAAAAGCTTGAGGGAAGCAAGCTGAAATGTTGACATTTTTAATTTAAAGGTAATAAAAGTAAAGTCTTAGGTGATTAAGAATAAAATGCAGCGAGAGACACTCGGTCCAAGTCAGACCTATATTTACACAGCCTTATGTCTGTCACAATCCCTTGAGTGCTATCCTTTTTATATAATTTTGTATTTTGGCTGGACAAGCACCGGGCAATACAGTAGTTTTGGTGGAGTGCAGGATTTTTTCATATATATGTATATATATATATATATATATATACACACACACGCATGTATAAATTTAACACATAACAGGTGATACATATATTCAACCATGACGTGCATTCTGTGCTGAGATATATTGCCATTGATCTCTTAAAAGATTTTAGATTGAATGAAGATTTGACTGTGTCCCTGAGGTTATTCCATAATTGCGGTCTCTGTAGGAAAAGGAGGATCGAGACACTTTATTTTTTTTATTGCGGTATGCTAAATATTGTGCTAGTACTGGATCGGAGGTTATAGGAGGAGGTGGGAACAGCTGGGGAGAGCATTCTGCTCAGGTAGGGTGGGAGCTTCCCAGAAATGCTCTTATGCACAAGGCTGGAAAGATGAAGGGTGCGTCGGGATTCCAGCGACAGCCAGTTTAGCTCTTTTAACATGTCACAGTGGTGGGTACAAATCGGCAGAACGAGTATTAAGTTTATGAAGGTGGGCTTGTGGTGCGGGTGCATACACTACATCCCCATAATCAATGACCGGCATTAGCATTTGTTGCACTATCCGTTTCCTTACTGTAGGGCTTAGGCAGGATTTGTTTCTGTACAGGGCACCTAGTTTTGGGTAACGTTTTGAAGAGATTTTTTCAATGTGAAAGCCAAAGGATAGATTGGGGTCTAGCAACATACCAAGATATTTAAAAGAGCAGACAGCTCTCAGTGTGCTATTTGAAGTTGTTCTGATACACAATTGCTGATTTTGTGGTTTATGTAATATAGGCAGAGCTCCAAAGATCACTGTAACGGTTTGTCAGTGTTTATTATTAGAATAATTTTAGGTTAACGCATCTTAATGTCATTTCAGATTTTGGGTGACTATTTGGTAGCCGAGTATTTATTAGTAAACTGCTTTATGGGATTGTGACATGGCGAAGTCATTTCATTGAATGGAGATCAGTCTGCCCTCTCCGGGGCTGCCATTCTCACTGCCTGGTTTCTGTGGCCACACACAGGATACGCAGCCTCCGTTGGCCATGTCATTGTCAGAAGCCTCCAAGCCACAGGGCCGGGTGGTTTTGTGCCCCCTCCTCACACGTAGAGAAATGTATTTCCTGAAACTCCAACTAAAAGTTCAAGATAAGCCCTGAACAAACATTTATAGAAATGTCAGTGTGAAGGGAAACATGGTCAGAATGGACAGCAGACAATTGGGGGAGTCTGTACCCCAGTATTTATGGGGCATTTTCTTATTAATGCTTCAAAGTGCACATCCATCACTGGTCACACAACAAGGTAAGAAAACAGTATTTATTAGTATCTTTGGGGAATAGAGCTAATTACACGTACTATCTGTGAGAATGTAGGTGTACTCAGCGCTTTACAGGTTACATTACAGAGAGGGAGCTACAGTCAGTGCAGTAGGTATACAGTGTATGTATATTGTATTTATATAGCGCTAATAGGTGTACTCAGCACTTTACAGGTTACATTACAGAGAGGGAGCTACAGTCAGTGCAGTAGGTATACAGTGTATGTATATTGTATTTATATAGCGCTAACAGGTGTACTCAGCACTTTACAGGTTACATTACAGTAGAGGGAGGTACAGTAAGTGCAGTAGGTATACAGTGTATGTATATTTTATTTATATAGCACTAACAGGTGTACTCAGCACTTTACAGGTTACATTACAGTAGAGGGAGGTACAGTAAGTGCAGTAGGTATACAGTGTATGTATATTTTATTTATATAGCGCTAACAGGTGTACTCAGCACTTTACAGGTTACATTACAGTAGAGGGAGGTACAGTAAGTGCAGTAGGTATACAGTGTATGTATATTGTATTTATATAGCGCTAACAGGTGTACTCAGCACTTTACAGGTTACATTACAGTAGAGGGAGGTACAGTAAATGCAGTAGGTATACAGTGTATGTATATTTTATTTATATAGCGGTAACAGGTGTACTCAGCACTTTACAGGTTACATTACAGTAGAGGGAGGTACAGTAAGTGCAGTAGGTATACAGTGTATGTATATTTTATTTATATAGCGCTAACAGGTGTACTCAGCACTTTACAGGTTACATTACAGTAGAGGGAGGTACAGTAAGTGCAGTAGGTATACAGTGTATGTATATTTATTTATATAGCGCTAACAGGTATACTCAGCACTTTACAGGTTACATTACAGTAGAGGGAGGTACAGTAAATGCAGTAGGTATACAGTGTATGTATATTTTATTTATATAGCGCTAACAGGTATACTCAGCACTTTACAGGTTACATTACAGTAGAGGGAGGTACAGTAAGTGCAGTAGGTATACAGTGTGTGTATATTATATTTATATAGCGCTAACAGGTGTACTCAGCACTTTACAGGTTACATTACAGTAGAGGGAGGTACAGTAAGTGCAGTAGGTATACAGTGTATGTATATTATATTTATATAGCGCTAACAGGTGTACTCAGCACTTTACAAGTTACATTACAGTAGAGGGAGGTACAGTAAGTGCAGTAGGTATACAGTGTATGTATATTTTATTTATATAGCGCTAACAGGTATACTCAGCGCTTTACAGGTTACATTACAGTAGAGGTACAGTAAGTGCAGTAGGTATACAGTGTATGTATATTTTATTTATATAGCGCTAACAGGTGCACTCAGCACTTTACAGGTTACATTACAGAAGAGGGAGGTACAGTAAGTGCAGTAAGTATACAGTGTATGTATATTTTATTTACATAGCGCTAACAGGTGTACTCAGCACTTTACAGGTTACATTACAGTAGAGGGAGGCACAGTAAGTGCAGTAGGTATACAGTGTATGTATACTTTATTTATATAGTGCTAACAGGTGTACTCAGCACTTTACAGGTTACATTACAGTAGTGGGAGGTACAGTAAGTGCAGTAGGTATACAGTGTATGTATATTTTATTTATATAGCGCTAACAGGTGTACTCAGCACTTTACAGGTTACATTACAGTAGAGGGAGGTACAGTAAGTGCAGTAGGTATACAGTCTATGTATATTGTATTTATATAGCGCTAACAGGTGTACTCAGCACTTTACAGGTTACATTACAGTAGAGGGAGCTACAGCCAGTGCTGTAGGTATACAGTGTGTGTATATTATATTTATATAGCACTAACAGGTGTACTCAGCGCTTTACAGATTGCATTACAGTAGAGGGTGGTACAGTAAATGCAGTAGGTAAACAGTGTATGTATATTTTATTTATATAGCACAAACAGGTGTTCTCAGCACTTTACAGGTTACATTACAGTAGAGGGAGGTACAGTAAATGCAGTAGGTATACAGTGTATGTATATATTATTTGTATAGCACTAGCAGGTGGGCTCAGCACTTTACAGGTTACATTACAGTAGAGGGAGGTACAGTAAGTGCAGTAGGTATACAGTGTATGTATATTATATTTATATAGCGCTAACAGGTGTACTCAGCACTTTACAGGTTACATTACAGTAGAGGGAGGTACAGTAAGTGCAGTAGGTATACAGTGTATGTATATTTTATTTATTTAGCGCTAACAGGTGTACTCAGCACTTTACAGGTTACATTACAGTAGAGGGAGGTACAGTAAGTGCAGTAGGTATACAGTGTATGTATATTTTATTTATATAGCGCTAACAGGTGTACTCAGCGCTTTACAGATTGCATTACAGTAGAGGGTGGTACAGTAAATGCAGTAGGTAAACAGTGTATGTATATTTTATTTATATAGCACAAACAGGTGTTCTCAGCACTTTACAGGTTACATTACAGTAGAGGGAGGTACAGTAAATGCAGTAGGTATACAGTGTATGTATATTTTATTTATTTAGCACTAACAGGTGTACTCAGCACTTTACAGGTTACATTACAGTAGAGGGAGGTACAGTAAGTGCAGTAGGTATACAGTGTATGTATATTATATTTATATAGCGCTAACAGGGTGTACTCAGCACTTTACAGGTTACATTACAGTAGAGGTACAGTAAGTGCAGTATACAGTGTATGTATATTTTATTTATATAAGCTAACAGGTGTACTCAGCACTTTACAGGTTACATTACAGTAGAGGGAGGTACAGTAAGTGCAGTAGGTATACAGTGTATGTATATTTTTTTTATATAGCGCTAACAGGTGTACTCAGCACTTTACAGGTTACATTACAGTAGAGGGAGGTACAGTAAGTGCAGTAGGTATACAGTGTATGTATATTTTATTTATATAGCGCTAACAGGTGTACTCAGCACTTTACAGGTTACATTACAGTAGAGGGAGGTACAGTAAGTGCAGTAGGTATACAGTGTATGTATATTTTATTTATATAGCCCTAACAGGTGTACTCAGCGCTTTACAGATTGCATTACAGTAGAGGGTGGTACAGTAAATGCAGTAGGTAAACAGTGTATGTATATTTTATTTATATAGCACAAACAGGTGTTCTCAGCACTTTACAGGTTACATTACAGTAGAGGGAGGTACAGTAAATGCAGTAGGTATACAGTGTATGTATATTTTATTTATTTAGCGCTAACAGGTGTACTCAGCACTTTACAGGTTACAACACTGCTACAAAAATATATTTTGTATAAAGTACACTGTCCTGGT